TTCATGATTTGACTAGGGTGATAGGTTTGGGGAGGAAGGCCACAGAGGTAAAGTACCATTCTCATCACGTCATAGCAAGGGTACATACTATCACCATGACTTATTACTGTTGATGTTGACCTTAGTCATGTGGCTGAGGTAGTATTTGTCATATTGTTCCGCTATAAAGCTGTTTTTTTATTCCGCCTTTCCAGAAAGTCCCTTAGTGCTGCCGACACTTAAGGAGTGGGGAGTTGTGCTTCCCTTCCTTGAGGGTGGAGAATCTACATAAATTATTTAGAATTCTAATAAATAAACTTTTACAACCTAAAACAGAAAATAAGTCAAACAATTAAGAGACTGCCTTGAATCAGAAGAATCCCCATAGAACACTAAACAGGAAGTGAACGTGTGGCAATGAAGCAAGCTTTCCCGATTAAGTGATGCACATTATTTGAAGGATCTGCAATTTCTCTTTGGCTTATATTCGTTGAGAAGCCCTGGTAGCGCAGTGGTTAAGAGCTCGGCTGCTAACCAAAAGGCCACCAGCATTAGAAAGGCATTAGAAAGAAGAAACCTAGGGACTAATTTTGGGAACTGTCCTTAGAAGTTAGCCCTTGGGCCAGTGGGCTGAGCAGTGAAGCTGATAGAAATTGACCAGGGAATTAGAACACATGGTTTCTGTGTCCAGCTCCATTTTGGCCTTGCTGAGGGACATTGGGTGCATCCTAGCCCCTTTGCATTGTGGTCTTTCCGTTGTCCTTGGGGTGGGGGCTCTAGCCCCCAGGGCTGACAGCAGGTGGCACAGTGGTTAAGTGTTTGGCTGCTAACCAAAAGGTTGGCAATTTGAATCCACCAGCTGCTCCTTGGAAACCCCACGGGGCAGTTCTACTCTGTCCTATAGGGTTGCTGTGAATCGGGATCCACTTGATGGCAATTGGTTTGGTTTTTTTGGTAGGCACAATGATGGGGCAGGAAGAAGCTGTTTCTTTCTCCCTGGTCCCCTGGGCAAAACTTCCTTTTTTCTTTCCCCCTTCTTCCTCTTCCACTGCCTGCCTTCCACTCCCCTCTCTCCTCTGGGAATCAGGCTCTTACAGGGATTGAGCTGTTGTGATGTTCTGCCGGGAGGGGGTACTCTGAGGGCCATGGGGACTGGATTTGTAGGTTAAAGTCCCACTTGCCTTCTCTCTGTAGTCTTTGATCCTGTGTCTTCTCTCTCTCACTTGCTCTTGCTCTCACTTCTGCTCTCTGTCTGCCTCATGATTGCTCCATTTTTCTCCCTGTCTCCTTCTGTCAGCTTTATTTATTCTGTCTGCTGACCCATCTTTCTGCCCATATTCTCAACCACTTTAGTTCTTTAAGGGAGCTCTCCTACTAGTCTCAGCTTTGTGCTCTCAGAACTCAGTGTGAGTAGAACAAACCTCCCTTGTGTCCATCAAGTTTCAAGCCTAGAGGAAGGTCTGCCACTCTCCCCCAGGGACCACCCCCCACCCTCATTTGTCTTCTTTCTGTTCTGAGGGGTTTTCTGGGAGAGAATCACTAGCAACCCAGGTGCTTACTCATCCCAGTCCTGAGAACTGGGATGTTCTCCGGGATTCTCCCTCATCTTTCCTGCTGTAGCTGGCACCTTTTCCTCTGCCTGGCTGCCTCCTGGAGGTGCATGAGCCCTCCCCTGTCCCCTTCCTCCAGCCTGGCCTTGGGAACATGGGGTGTGGTAATGGCACAGTAGTGACTGAGTTTGTTTTGCTGGGGTTCTCAGGTTTTGAGTCCCTCCAGGTCCCCCTGTTTTGTGGGGTGCTCTGCATCTACCTGGTTACCTTGCTAGGCAACTCCCTGATCATCCTCCTCACACTGGCAGACCCTACCCTGCACTCGCTCATGTATTTCTTCCTTCGCCACTTCTCCATGGTGGAGATTCTCTACACCACAACCATCGTGCCTCGGATGCTGGTCGATCTCCTCTCCTCCTGCCCTACCATCCCACCTGCCAGCTGCTTCACCCAGCTGTATTTCTTTGCCCTCTTTGGCATCGCTGAATGCTGCTTGCTCACAGTCATGGCCTATGACCGCTATGCTGCCATCTGCTGGCCCCTGCATTACACCACCCTGATGAACCGGGGAGCCTGTGTGAGTATGGTGGGGACCTCCTAACTCATGAGCATCAACACTGGCACCACTCACTCCATCTGCATCTTCACCCTGCCCTTCTATGGCGCCAACACCATCCACCACTTCCTGTGTGACATACTGCCTGTGCTGAGACTGGCGAGTGCAAGCACCTTCTGGGGTGAAGTGGGGAATCTTGCTGTCACAATAGCCTTTATAGTGACCCCTTTCTTACTGATCATGGCCTCCTATGCCTGTATCCTTATCACAACATCCCAAGGACGTCAAAAGATCTTCCCTACCTGTTCCTCCCACCTGTTTGTGGTCATGCTTTTCTTTGGGACAGGGACTGTTACCTATAGAAGGCCTTGGTCTGATGCCTCTCAGGACATGGAGCAGATCCTTGCCTTCTTCTACACAGTGGTCACTCCCATGTTCAACCCTTTTGTCCACACTCTGAGGAACAAGGAGGTGACAGGGGCCATGAGGCGGCTGGTGAAGAGACATCTTTGGAGTCTGTGATTCCCCTGAGTTCTGGAGTTAAGGGCCTGATCCTTGGACATGTTCAAGGAGGAGGGAGACGCTGGCACTTGCAGTCCCTAAGGTTCTGGCCTGCTCTGTGTTGTCTGAGTGTGAGGTCCCCTCCACTGCTCAGCTTAAGGGCCCAAAGCACTGACCTGCTGCTCAGAGCTCTTCCTCTGGAGCCTGTTCTTACGGGCCTTGACCTGATTTGTTTGTAGGGGCAGAGCTGGGGAAGAATGCACTTCAGGGGTGATTGAGGAGGGAAGGCGGACGTGATGATCTTGTGTGATGATCGAGCAATTTCTGGTTTTTCCCGAGGCTCAGGGTGCCCTCCTGGGGCTGTGATTCCTGGAGACATTGCTCTACCTCCTTCTCCCAGAGCCTGCCCATTACAAGCCTTTCTCTCTTAGCCATGCTGGGTGTGACAAGAACTTCTTTACTCCAGGTGTGAAGTCTAGTGTGGGCATGGGGCGGCAGGGAAGGAACAGGGGCAAAGAGTAGTTGGTCTGGCTTTGGCAGTTCAGGTACCAAGTCTAGCCTGGTGCTGCACTGTGTCTGGAGGCACCTACCTGTCCAGTTGCTCTGCTCCTGACTTGCCCCTGGGATCACTGAGGTGTTGATATTCTTGTCTTTCTCCCTGGCTGAGCTGTTCTTCATTTTCTCCCTGGGCCTAGGTGTTGCTCTCAGTTCCAGTAGAAATGCACCGTCGCTTTTCCCTGACTCTAATCTGGCTCCTAGAATTTCCCTAGAATTCTCTTGTTTCTTGGAAACTGTCCATGATTTCCATTTGGAGACCACCTTAGTTTGTTGGCCAGAGGGATTCAGCGCCATTTTACCTTTCTTGGGAAACCAGTGCTTGCTTGTTTGTGAGCTCTCCTTCAATAATAAGCCACAGGAGGGAGCAATGCAAACAGGGAAGTCGCTCTCAAGCACAACGAATGAGGGCCTTTACAATAACATTTATTTTTCCCATGTTTACAGAAGTAGTACATGTTAATCGCGGGGAGTTTTGCATCGAGAAGAAAAGAAAATAACTATTAACATTTTGAAATTAATAATATCCTTGGGAAATTTTTCCAGTCTGTTTTTCCTCTGCATATATATAGATACATATTTTTAAAAACTAAAACCAAAAAACCCGTTGCTGTCGAGTCAATTCCGACTCAGAGCAACCACATAGGACAGAGTAGAACTTCCCCATAGAGTTTCCAAGGAGCAGCTGGTGGATTGGAACTGCTGACCTTTTGGTTAGCAACCATAGATCGGTGTAGCTCTTAATCACTGTGCCACCAGGGCTCCAAAACTAAAAATGGAATTATATTTTCAAAACTGCTCTGTTATCTTTATTTTCCACTTTGTTAAACTATATTGTAACGTTTTACCACATTAGCAGATTTCTAAAACATGAGTTTAATATCCATATACCATTCTACTATATGGTGTACTATAATTTTAAGCAATCTCCTATTACTGGAATTTTTTTTCATTTTTTTGTTATAAATATTGCTGAGATAGATATCATTACACTTACATCTTTTTTTTTTTTTTAGTTGTGCTTTAGGTGAAAGGAAACACTGGTGGCATAGTGGTTAAGAGCTCCGGCTGCTAACCAAAAGGTCGGCAGTTCAAATCTACCAGGCGCTCCTTGGAAACCCTATAGGGCAGTTCTGCTCTGTCCTGTAGGGTCTCTGTGAGTCGGAATCAACTCGATGGCAACCGGTTTGGGTTTGGTTTTTTAGGTGAAAGTGTATAGCTCAAGTTAATTTCTTATACAAAAATTTATACACATATTGTTATTTGACACTAGTTGCAATCCCCATAATGTAACAGCACACTCCCTCTTTCTGCCCTGTGTTTCCTGTGTCCATACAACCAGCTGCTGTTCCTTCCTGCCTTCTCATCCTGCCTCTGGAAAGGAGCCACCAATTTGGTCTTGCCTATTTGCTTGAACTAAGAGGCACACTCTTCACGAGCATTATTTTATGTTTTATAGTTTGGTCTGATCTTTGTCTGAAAAGTGAGCTTTGGGAATGGTTTTAGTTCTGGGTTAACAGAGCATCTGGGGGCCATGACTTTGAGGGTTTCTCCAGTCTCAGTCAGACCATTAAGTCCGGTCTTTTTACTTGAGTTTGAGTTCTGCACCACACTTTTCTCCTGCTCCATCAGGGACTCTCTGTTGTGTTCCCTGTTAGGGCAGTCATTGTACATTTTTATCTTTGTATACTTCTCTTGTGCTTTTCCTTAGCACAAACTTCTAGAAATGGAATTCCTAAGTGAAAAGGCATGCACAACCTCAGAGATTTTGAAACATGTTGCCAAATTGTCCTCCATAAGAATTTTTATTTCTTTATAGTCCAGTTGAGGGCCCTTTCTCACAACTTGCAGGTCAAGGAAATGTAGTAAGAGTCAGGAATGAGGTGAGGTTAGATGGCCCAGGGAAGAGAAGGATAGGGGAGGTATGGAGTTTAATTTTCTTATGTTGCAGAAAGGATCTGATGAGGAGGACACAAACTCACCTCCCTCAGTTTACTGAGGACTAGGTGAGACCTGGAAACCCTGGTGGTATAGTGGTTAAGAGCTACAGCTACTAACCAAAAGGTCAGCAGTTTGAATCCACCAGGTGCTCCCTGGAAACTCTATGGGGCAGTTCTACTCTGTCCTATAGGGTAACTATGAGTTAGAATGGACTTGATGGCAACAGGTTTGGTTTTTTCTGGTTTAGGTGAGACATATTTGGTCTGTACAACATGAGGTATCAAAGTTTGACCTCAGGAATCACTTCCTGGCAGGGTTGGTAGCTGGACAAGACAAGGATACTAAGAGAAAGAGGACATGATGGAGTTGAGCTGGCTCAGTTCTACGTGGCTTCATGCTCTCTGCCTGAGATAGCGATCATCTGTTCTGGAGGTTAAGGCCTCTATTTTCAGGGTCCCCAGGTAGGATTGCAAGATAAAAAATTGATGGATAATATTTTAGTCTAACTATGCTTCATGAAATATTTGACCAGAGGGATCTACCACCATTTTATCTGGGGAAAGAAATATTTAGGACATACTTATACTAAAAAATTATTTGTTGTTTATCTGAAATTCAAATTTAACTAGGTCTCTTGTATTTTCATTTGCTAAATCTAGCAACCCTATTCCCTTGTGTTGTTCAAACAAGGCTGGAACTACAGATGGAGGTGAGGATCTAAGTCGAAAGCTGTGATCACCTCTATTTAGGAAAAAGGAAGCTGCCTGGGAAACACAGTAGTTTCTTCTGATGTGAGTCCTTTGTGCAGCCAGAGACTCACTGGGGTGAATCTTGGCCCTCCTGTAAGTGCAAAAGAGGATATGGAAGACTGGAGTGGGAGGAGTCTATGTCTATCCTTGGGAATAAGAGGCACTAAAGAGTAGAATAGGGTCCTTTCTTTTAGTGCAAAGTCTAGAAGTGGAGACTTTTGTTATGGATTGAATTGTGTCCTCCCAAAATACATGTTGTAAATCCTAACCTCTATACCTGTGGTTATAATCCCATTTGGCAACGGGTTGTCTTTGTTACTTTAATGCGGCAGGATTAGTATAGGGTGTGTCTTGAGCAGAGATGGGGAAGGGAGATGCCAAGCTACATGGAGGTTGCCCAGGAGCAGAAGCTCAAAGAGTCAAGGACCTTCCTCCAGAGCCAACAGAGAGAGAAAGGCTTCTCCTTGAGCTGGCACCCTGAATTCAAACTTCTAACCTCCTAAGCTATGAGAAAATAAAATTCTGTTTGTTAAAACCACCCATTTGCGCTATTTCTGTTATAGCAGCACTAGATAACTAAGACAACAATGGAGCTGGCTAAGGAAGGTAGACCAGAAGGCTGGGTTGTAGATAGCAATATGGTACAGTGGTTTAGAGTGTCGGTCTAGTATTAGGCAGGCTTGAGATCAAATCTTGACTGTCACTTAACTATCTTGAGCTGGTTTCTTAACATCTTTATGCCTTAATTTCCTCATCTATAGAATAGTGACTATAATAGTTTCTGTGATTCACAGGATTGTTGTGAGGATTAAAGGTAGCCTTCCCCAGTCATTCTTTATCACATCACTTAACATTATCTGAAATTAACTTGCTTATTAGTTTGTGCTTTCTCTCCCTTCACTAAAAGGCATGTCCCGTAAGGGCAGGGATCTTGTCTGTCTCGTACAGCAGTGTATTCCTCGTGTCTAGAATATTTCTTGGACATATATTATGTTCAAGAAATATTTGTCAAGTAGATAAATGAATAGATATAAGAAAACTGCTTAGCATCAAAAAAACAAAACAAAATAAAACAAAACAAAAACGAAACTCATTGACGTCGAGTAGATTCTGACTCATAGCTACCCTATAGGACAGAGTAGAACTGCCCCATAGGTTTTCCAAGGAGTGGCTGGTAGATTTTGAACTGCTGATCTTTTGGGTAGCAGCCAAGCTCTTAACCACTGTGATACCAGGGCTCCACTTAGCACAGTATACGGTAAATAATAAAGTGTTAACTAATCTATTTTGATCACTACTATGATTGCTATTACTGTCATTTGCATTCCTATGAGCTTCAAAGATAACTTTCATTAGGGTTTTTAGAAGTCTTAAAGTTTTGAGACTTGCTTCATTAAAAAAATTCTCTTAAAATTGTTGGCAAGTTTATAATGTGTTATGTTGAATTAAGATAGGGAAAAACTACATGTGGGATTTGGAAAAGAGGAAATTCTGGTGGAAGCTATTAGTGGGGATAACCCAGAAGGGAACAGATGGGTCATTCCCTGTGGAGCATGGGAGAGAAGTAAAGGGGTAGCAGGTGAACACTTAGGAGATGGAGAAAAACTGACTCTGGTAGCTCACAGACTTGACAGGAATCCTGGGGAACCAGGCTTAGAAAATGATCAGAAACCAAGAGAAGCTGGGAGGCCAGAATCATGCTGTTGTTGTTAGGTGCTGTGGAACTGGTTCTGACTCATAGCAACGCCGTGTATAACAGAACAAAACACTGCCCGG